CAGCGGAGGCAGCGGCGTGGGCGCCGCCGGTGCCTCCCGCGGCGGTGCAGAGGGGCCGCCGCGCGGGGCTCGGCTGCAGCCCCGTGCCGTTACTCAGTGGTTGTTTTGCTGCGCTCTGGTTTGAAAAACGCTTAATTAAAAAAAAAAAAAAAAAAAAAAAAGTGTGGAAACAGCCTGGGCTTTTCAATACCCCGAACTGGAAATGCCTGTGAGCCCTTGTCATTTTCCTCCTTGTATACAACCTCCTTGACTCCCACATCCTTCCTGCCACCATCCCTGCAGCTGTAACACTTTCCAGTATCTCCCACCACGCTTTCCCCCCGCCCTTTCCTTTATATTTTAACTAGTGTTTTTTGACTGAAGTTTAGAACAATTGTAGGTTAAGATGTGTTTGTTTACATGTTGGTAGAGGAAGCCTTTTTGTTCAGGTTGGCTTGTCTGGACTCTGTGAGGAGGAACAGTTAACTAAAGGGACACTGTCAACTTGAAATCCAGGGAATTTGAGTGATGAATGGGGAGCTGTGTCCAATATTACACCCACCGTGGAGCTCCCTGCTGGAGCTCTGTGGTTTTTATAATCCTGTCTCCTGACTGTGTGGGTTTGTCATGCAGTGAAGGAGTAAAAACACACTTCAAACAAAGTTCTCTTAAATGAACAAAGGAAGCTAGAAGAAAAAAAATACCAGAGGAGTGGGAAGGGAAGGAAACATCTCCAACTTCTCATTTCTATCCATCCCAGCCAGTGTTTCACCCGGTGGGAAATTTGCGGGGGGGGTAGAGAAGACATTCTTTGTTAATTTTTAAAATTCAGCATTTTTTTTAATCAGTAAAGTGAAAAGGTGTTCATCCTTCCCCACCCAAGGATATATTTGCCATGGTGATGTGTGTTCTCCAGAAATGGCTAACATGTGACTGATATTAGAATATCAGTGACTTTTAAGTGTTTTTTTTTTTTTTTTTTTTTTTTTTTTTTTTATTTTGAAAAGGGAATCTTTTAGAAGAGGCAATGGGTTCTTCCTTCTCCTTGAACTTTGTTCTTTTTATAAAGAGAATAATAGGGCCTAGTTTTTTTTTTTTTTTTATTTTGTTATTTTGAAAAGGGAATCTTTTAGAAGAGGCAATGGGTTCTTCCTTCTCCTTGAACTTTGTTCTTTTTATAAAGAGAATAATAGGGCCTAGTTAAAGCCCTCATAATTTGGACATTGTTTGTAGCAGGTTGCAGCTTTCTTCTGGTTTGTTGAAACATTCAGATATTTTTAGGGAGTTGCCTGTCAGACTCTTTGTTTTCCACCCCAAACAAATCAATGTGTGGACTCATCTAAATGGTTCATACTTTGCTAAATTAAGAATTTCTAATATGAGGTTTTCTACTGGTAGCTGGCCAACACTGGTGTCTTGCCGCATGTGGTTCAGACACATGATTTGAGACACTCCGTGTTATCTGCTGCTGGAAGCTACAGCAAAATGAAATACTCTCAAGTATGAAACCCTAAACAGATGTGAAAACTGTTTTTTGATATTGGCTAAGTGCCGAGCTTCAGTGAATTACAAACAATTGCAGCACATGGACATGGTAGAAAATGTAAGGCAGAAACAGTGATGAAGGTGGCACAGAAATGTGACTTGTTAATTGTCTTAAGTATTTTTAAAAGTTAGGAGCAGCTGATAAACTGCCCCTGTTTATTAAGATAAAGCATCTGTGAGGAAATAGTTATTTCTAAGGTACTGTAGATTTCACGTAACTTTGTGGGATGTCTGGATAATGTTATCCAAAGTCCCTG